ATGGGCAGCTGCCCAATAACGAGTGCCCACGGCCCACGAGTGCCAGGCCACGGCCCACGAGTGCCAGGCCACGGCCCATGAGTGCCAGGAAGTCTGCAGACTTCCTGAATCTAGTTGCTACCCTTTGCGGGGTGTAGCCCCCCGATGAGCACAAGGCGGTCCGGGCGCTTCGGTGGGCTCCAGCTGGGCACCTGGCAGTAACCCGCGGTGATAATAAACCACATTGAGCTCAACCTCAAAGCAATGACCTCTCCGCCACGGCGCCGTCCCCTCGTAGCCGGATCACCCCATTCCCCAGCAAAACAAGCATAGTTGCCAACCCTTTGCGACCGGTTTCGGGACACCCCTTTCCCTCTTACACGCAACCGGGTAGGCCTAGTTGCAGCTGGCTGCGCCTGCTTTCAGACAACGCGGTATAAGGAGCGCAATCTGTTGGTAATCACAACGTCCCCTTCTGGGTGTTTCCGTCGCGTGCCATTCTTATCGCCTTCATCGTAGCCATTACTTCGTTCTCCTCCGGACCTTCTCCGACTCCGCCACGCACTTCATCCCGCTCGGCCCTCTCTTCGCTGTTACTGACGCCCGATGTGCCAGTAACGCTGTGTTCTCTGATTTCCTTCCTTATTAAACTGGGTCCATATGTATTGTATATTGTTATTTTTGACGTCTCTATTCCCCAACAAACGACGTTCTGACTTGCGCTTGCTTGCACGGTTGACTGGCAAACTTGTGTTGTCTGGATTTAGCGCTTTGTTCTCCGCTAATCTTTGTAACGAACTACAGTATCAGTCCCTGTCCTCTGGCCAGTTCTGGTCTGCGCCTTCCTGCGCCGCACTTGCCGTACTGCACTACAGGACGAGCACTTAATCAATACCCAGTCAAGTCAGTCGCCGAGGCCCCACTGTTTTCCTACCACACTTCATCGGCAGTTTGTCCAATTTATCCCACAATACTCGTATGCATGAATAGGTTCGGTTGGAAACAATTGCAAATCTCCGATACACCGCTAAACTCACTACCACGAGCTACAATAAAAACAAATGAAAATGCAGATGTCTGTCGAGAAGAATGTGTGCTCCACATGTGTTCTGTGCCTTAACCCATCGAGCTCTCCGTTGGGCGGGGCATGGCCCACGAAGTTGCCCATGGTATTCTGCCCATGGAACCAAACACCTACACAAAACGTTGCACGTCTGGGCCCATGTGGATTCCGTGTGGATTGGCTACCCGCGCTCCCCATGTCAGGGGTCCTCCCTCCTGCTGGTGACTCCCAGATTGTCCACACACAAATGCCAAACGTTGGTGCAGAAAACAGACAGGCCACTGCAGTATGGCATCAAACCATGCATAACCCACAGCGGTTTTCAGCAGCAGTACTGCTTGGCCAATGTGACCAGCCCTGTACTCTGTTGCGCATCAAACACCCATCCATGCGTTGCACTCCAGCAAACCATCGGACAACATATAGTAATACACAGTCACCCCAACACGTGTGTTAGCAGCCGCGGACAAGCATGGGTCCAGGTGAATCCCACTGGAGAGAAACAGGCGCACATTCCCAACCCCTCCGCTTCAAACCATATGGCCTCCTTCACCAAATTCGCTTTCGCTGACATCCATATCGCCGCTGCTGTTGTTACAGCTGTCATCGCTGCCAGTCATGGTTGTAGTGCCCCGCAGCAAACAGCTCCTGCCTGTGACCCCCAATGCACATTGCTCAACGAGCCGTCCACTCAGGGGCTGTGTCTCAGCTACAGAGCGTGCCACAGCTACTATACAGGTGCCTGTCTTGAATATCCAGCAACGAGTTGGCAATCTGTTGAAACTGTGAACCGACCCCCGAACAAGCTGCTCAGCTGCTCTGCCCTTAAGAGACACGCCATCTCTGCTGACCTGTACATCAATACACACCAACTGGGTCAGCACAAACCATGTATCACACGAGTGAGGCTCAGCTTGTCACGCGACTTACTGGAATCCAAAATCGTAGTCACCACATCGCTCGTGTAACACTTCCCTCCACCCTCTGTTGTCTATGGCCTATGGTCTATGACACTCCCTCTCAGTGCCGTGGCGGCACGAAACGGGGAGAGCTGTAAATCTTCTGCATAGGAGGGGGTGTATGTAAGGACACACAGTCTCTCAAAACACCGTTCGCAATGTTTCCAACTGTTTTCGGCACTACACAGGGACATCACCGTCCCGCGTTTTTGACACAAACTCGCGATTTACTCTCTGCAACCAATAGTCCAGATTTCTCACCTCGGAACAAGTTCCATGCCGCAACAACGGAGTGCACACCGAGATCTTTTTCAAACTGGCGCACAGCATCCACCCGTTCGTCGTCCCCATCCAGCGCCTCGTGGAGGCACCTCGTGAGAGCCGCCATTTCAGGCTATAGACGCAGTAGAGAATTACATGAACCCCTAGTGAAGGCAGATGGTTGCAAATGCACCATGGTGCATTTGCATGGTGGGAACACGTAAAGCAAGAAATGACGCACCGCGTCGTTGGGACTGCGTGTCCGCTGGTCCCGGGCATCTCCATCGTCCACAATCTCCTCCAGTGTGACATCGATCGCGGCCATTTGCTCACCGCTCCTACATGACAGCAACCTAGCTTCTAGATAAACATCGCTACACAATGAAATTGGATAGTTATGTAATACTATTGTAAGGTTCGCGACTGTGACATGCTTGCGACTCAAGCCTACATGGCTGCCCAACTCTTGTTGTACGGAAGCGTGATGCATCGCATTAAAGCATAACAGTGCACATCATCGGAAGTGCTTTTGACATAGTTATACAACTCTGTGTCGTTGTTGCGCCATCTCTGAGGCGTGTTCCCTTTTGAAAGCTGAAGTCATTTACACAACAGGGAAGCATTTCTGAACATCCTTGTAATCCAGTAAACTAAGTATGCCATTTTATATTATCAGCGTAGGTTCTTGCGTCGAACGGTGGTAAGTAAACCATGGTGCATTCATGGAAGTATTCAGAGCGGAGAAGTCTCAGCCCTCTGCTCTGGGAGTCCTGGAGAAAAGCCAGCTTGATTGCAGAGTCTGTGGACGCCAGCACACGGTTAACTCGTGTTGCTGTGGCCACCCAGCGCCATGCACGGTTCTGTATCCACAGTGTTGTGTTCAGGCGCGTGTTTACATCCCTTCGTCTGTTGAATGATTGGATGAATGAATGAACGAATGAAAAGTTCGGGCCCGAATCGGGGTGAAGAACCCTGGTCTGGCAGCTCCTACAATTTGTCGCATGAAAGATATCTGAGGCTGCATTGCTCTGTCCTATAGGCATGCCTCGAAGGGCCCCTCTGCAAGGTTACTCGCATCACTCCGCCTCCTGAGCCTGTCCAAGACCTCAGCTAGCATAAACGGCCCCCACGCTTGACAACCATACAACAGTATTGCTCGTACCTGCATATCGAAACACCTCATCCTCACATCTGGGCGAACAACTTTAGCTTATCTAATTTTGCACTCAACGCAAACATAGCTGCTCTAGCTGTGTCATACAACTGCTGACAGCGGGCCCAGAACTGCCGTTCCGGCCCATACACTACCGTAGTGCTACTTATAGTTCGTGCTACAATAATTCGGGAGGCACCACGAATATGTAGCACGTACAAATTCTAAGGTATCCCAAGGGACCGCAGCCCCGAAATATCGTACCCTCCGAAGCCGGTCGATCAAACTTCGCAAAAACTAGGATTTCAAGGCGGAAATCAGCTCTTAAAATACATAAAATATAGTCATAAACGTAGGACATGAACAACGCTGGAAAACGTGCAAGACAGGCAACCCTGCTTCAATGCGGGATGAAACCGCTAGCACCAAACGCTCCGGTGAGCGACCGAGCTGGATTTGCACCAGTTAGGCTTGATGATGCTGTTGTCGAGGCCCAGCGTGAGCGAATGGAGCACGAGGAGGTTGCTAGGCGCGAGCGCAATGCGGTCAATGCTACGGCAGCCGGCGAGGCGAGGCTTGCGCTCACGCCGCAGCCTGGCATTCGACCTGTTGGACGTCCTCTTCAACAAATCCCAAACACTGTATTGGCCCGGCCGGTTGGTTATTAGGTCGTTGCCACTGGTACTGAACTGTACGATCGGTCCAGAATTTGCTAGGGCGTTTCCAAAGTGCGAAAATTGTGAGAGACCATAAGCCTAAGGGTTCCCGGTGGAGGGAGACTGACTGGAAGCTGCAGTTTGAAAAGCCCCGAAACTTTGGAAGGGGCCCCAAAATTTGTATCATGCCCGCAAAATCTGGTCCGGCCTTCCCCGAAATTCAAAGAGCACGTACAAATTTCAGAAAGTTTTTTGACCCCTCCCCGAACAAAGCGATCACGAACTATAAGTAGCACTACGGTAACCCCAGATATCGTGCACTATCCTTAGCCGGTATGGCCTCTCCAGCCTGCCTGAGCTCATCACACGATGCTTGGACAGTATCGCTGTCGCTTGCAAAAACGAGGCGTTCACATTTCGACACATTTGGGCGCATCCCAAAATCATCACAGAACATGTCCACAATGTTGAGCAGCTCCCCCATGAGCCCCGGTGTTGTTGCCAGAAGGCTAACGTCATCGGCATAGAGGAGGATGGACACTCGCTCATTTCCAACCTCCGGTGCATCCTCTGGCTGTTCCCCGGTGTTAATACCGTCGTGCATATCGATGGCGGCCGCGAGAGTTGAAAAGAGCCCAAACAGCTCAGTTGATAATGGACAGCCTTGTTTCACACCCTGTTTTGACTCAAATTCACCTCCAGCCTTGCCATTCGTCTTGATGACCATTGTAACCTTGTCATATGCCCGCATCAGCGACCGCAGCATGGGCCCTTCAACCCCTCTCTCGCAAACGAAGCCATATTATCTCCCGTCAGCCATGTAACGTCCAGCACAGGCCCTTAAATTGGCCTGACAGGGATACGAATTGCCCTGGCAGGGACATTCCGACAGTCTGAATTAGCCTGTCAGGGTGTCTAATTAGGGGTGCACAGCGGGGCAGACCAAAGAGTTGCTCTCCCTGACCTTGTGTCCTACCCTCCTGATGTGCAAAGGGAAGCCGCGGATGAATTGAGTTCTGGCAAGTGGTGCATGTTGATGTTGTTATTTGTGTCCTGGAAGGAAGATGGGCTGTCTATTGTAATGCTGACGGGTCGTAGGTGGGACACCTATTCTGTGTAATGTAATGTTACAGAGTGGGAGGCTTCTGGGCCGCTTTATCACATTGTCAGTTCTACGATTTAATCACCTTATAGCACCATCCACCACTACCACACTGTACTTCGCCATACGAACTGTAAGTCCAAGGCGGCGGATCCAGCCTTCAGGGACCCCTCCTCATCCATTCACCCGAACACCCGAAGAGACGGAGGGTTCGGCAATCGCCACCAATCCAGCGTGCGAATCTGGTCCATCAACTGCGACCTTGACTCCACGTCTCAGCAGCTAGCCATAATCTCGCGCTTCCGACTAATTCGGGGTCTCCCCGGGAATCGAATTGCAGTAGTGTCAATCCAGACCAGACACCTATTCAGTTACAAGGCAAAACTCAGTTAAAGTTTCTTAATGTGACGACATAATGCTCAGGTGCCTGCTTATACAGCCCAGGGCGACGGTGCCCTCTTAGTCAACCAGAACAACAATGCCATGCTTATGAAACCCGGAACGACAGAGCCCTGCTTAAACAACCAGAACAACAATGCACCACACTCCACATACTATACAAAGAACAGAAAGCCAAAGGGTCATGTGTAAAGAAAAAAGTCAAAACAAGTCACACACAGCGAATAAATAATGGTCCAGATCCATGGACAGTGGAAGCGTCACAGAATCTCACAGAAATGCAAACTTAATGCTCCCAATGCCCCTATCGGTATCTACCACCGCCAGCCAGCATCAAGGCGCCTTCACCTGCTCCACAACCTGCTGCCTGCTGCACCAGCTGCTGCATCAGCTCGCCAGCAAGGTTACCACCACTGCGAGCCAGCACCTCCCCCTCTGTGGCCTGCTGTATCCACTCAGCCTTCATGGCCAGTGAAAGCTGTGAAGGCCCACTGCCCACTGCTGTCCGTGGGCTGTACCATGTTGGTTGGCCACCTTTTTTCCCCAGCACCATTGCCGCTGTCGCCATCCCCGCCATCGCCATTGCCACCGTCACCAACCCTGCCATCACCATTGCAACCATCGTCACCAGTGCTGCCATTGCCAACCTTCCACCGTCGCCGTCCCTTCTGTCGCCTGAACCACTGCGCCCACTGCAGCTGTCGCCAACCCTGCCAACAGCATTGCTGCCGTCGCCATCCCCACCATAGCCATTGCCACCGTAGCCATCCCCGCCGTCACCATTGCCGCTGTCGCCATCCCCCTCGTCGTGAATGCTGCCATCGCCAACTTTCCACCGTCGCCGTCCCCACTGTCACCCGAACCACCACCCCAACTGCCACTGTCGCCATCCCTGCCATCACCATTGTCGCTGTCGCCATCCCAGCCGTCACCATTGCTGCCATCGCCTTCCCTGCCGTCACTATTGCCGCTGTCGCCATCCCTGCCATCACCATTGCCGCAGTCGCTATCCCCGCCATCACCATTGCTACAGTCGCCATCCCCACAGCCACCATTGGCGCCGTCACCATCTCCACCGCTGCCAGTGCTGTCGCCATCCCCCTCGTTGCCAATGCTGCCGTCGCCATCCCCCTTGTCGCCAGTGCTGCCATCACCAACCTTCCACCGTCACCGTCCCTTCTGTCGCCCGAACCACCACCCCCATTGCTGCTGTCACCGTCGCTCCACCGTTGCCATTGCTGCCGCCACCATACCGACCGTCACCATTGCCGCTGTCACCATCCCCGCCATCGCCATTGCTGCTGTCGCCATCCCCGTCGTCGCCATTGCCACCGTCGCCATCCCACCACCACCATTGCCGCTGTCGCCAACCCTGCCGCCACCACTGCCACCATCGCCATCCCGACTACTGTCCGAACCAAAGCCCAAACTGCCGCTGTCGCCAACCCTGCCAACGGTATTGCTGCCGTCGCCATCCCCACCGTCACCATCCCCACTGTCAACCAAGCCGCCGTCACCGCTGCCCTGTTCATCCCGTCCCCCTTCACCTCCCCCACCGTCGCCACTGCCACCATCTCCACCTCCGCCCCGCATCCCCCTCTACTCTCTCTCCCCTCCATCCCCATCTCCTATAGGAAATAGCTATCTCTTCCCCGCATTTCCCTTAACCTCTCTCTCCCCCATATCCACCTTCCCTATCTTCCTCACTTCTTCAGTGTGTGGTCACATCACCCGATGATGCAAAAGGACGAGAAAAAAATCCTATAAATGGACTACGGTCTCACTTGTTAGGTTGTCGGGGCTCCACTGCTCCACCGCCTGGCCCTTCGGCGGACTCCGGACTCCATGTCCACCGCCACTGGAGACGGGGCGCCTACACTGACAGGGGGAACCTAGCTTCAAGTCGCTGATGACCTACATGTGACGTGTCTGGTAGTTTCGTTTATTGTATCTGTTTCATCCATTGGTTAGCTTGAGCTGTGCTCCCGCACCAACCGCTGAAGGGCCCACCGCAACTGGAGCTATTTGCTGAGGATTTTCATCTGCGTCATATTGGACGTCGCAAGTTTTAACCATACACAGTACGTGGCAATGTATTGCAACAATTTCCCACAGCGTCCAGCGACCATCTTGTTAGGAGCCACAGCCTCTTTGCCATTATTAACAAGCTGGACGCACTTCTGTCTGGTGATGTGATAATATGCACGAGACTGGCACTGATCATTGCGTCCACAGGACGCACACGAAAATTCGAATTTGGAGAGCGGCTGTCGCAGAGGTAATGGGGATATGTTTTAGCTGGAGGGGCCATAATTATTAGCTGTTATTATACCTTCAACAGCCAGCCACACTTGCAAACAGATGCTGTGTGCGTTTGTACTCGTTTCGCCCAACGTAGCTCCATCATCATGCTAAGTCATGTTCTCACTAAAACCAATGCTGGCATGACGATATCCGGAGGCTTCTATAAAGGAATCCATGCATTATGATTACTTCAGCCAAACTCCTTCGATATGTTCTGAAGGCCCCTCACCCCTTCATTCGGAAATGAGCACGAAATGAACGCCAAATGAAGGGAAGCCGGTTCCCAGAGTGGGATGGGCTGCCGCGACCTGCTGCTCCAGGGCAACCCCAGCCTGAGCTGCCTCATCATGCAGCAATTTCCCGATCACAAGTACCCGGTAACACCACACCCACCCTTCCTGCCGTTGCTCCCCCTTGCACCATGCCCTCATTACCGTTCTCAGCACTAAGACCTGCAGTAGCAGCAGAAGTGGACGCCCTCTGCTGAACTTTAAGTGGTGAGAAGACACCTCATTGCCATCATCATCATCACCATCATCACTGCTTGCACTGCTGCCATCATGGTCGTCAGCACCACTGCCATCACCACCGCCACCGTCGCCACTGGCATCACCACCGCCGCCACCATCACCACCACCGTCACCACTGCTGTCACCATCACTGAAGTCAGCAGTAGCGATGATGGCACCCAGGCTGGATGCCCCACTACTCTTGCGTGTAGACCCACGCCGCTGCCCTCTGCCACGCCCACACTGTGCAGGGTTAGGACGCGCACGGTTCCTAGAACGTCCTTGTTGTGGTGCAGGCCCAGACAGCGTGCGCGCCTCCTGGGATGTGGATGCGGGGTATCAGGGCATGGCGAGAGGCAAGAGGCGTGGACGAATACAGGATAAAATCACCGACACTGCCCCACACACCTTCCAGGAGCGGATGACTCTGCGGCTTGCCCTGTCGCTGGTCCTGCAGCTTGACCTGCTGCTAGCCCTGCCGTGGTCGGCTCTGTGAATATCGCTGCACTTGGCCTTGAGCTTGGCCTCTGCAGCTAGCCCTGCCGTGAACGGCTCTGTACATGGCGCTGCGTCTCTTGCCCCTGCGCTTGGCCCTCCCAATGCCCCACCCAATGGCCATGCCGCGAACGGTGCCTCCTTTGGTATCGCAAGCGGTACTGTGAAAGGTGCTGCTCCTACCAAAGCCTCTGCCGATGGGTCCCGCAGCAAATCTACATAGTTATCCGCATCCGTCTCCACCTGGGTCGCCCATGGCTGTGTGGTCCAAGTCGCGAGCAGCTGTCGCCATGGACGTGCATCAGGTCCCAAACCGCCAGATAAATATGTTTAATAAATCTAATTGACTAGCTGACTGCAAGATTTAGCTTTGTTTACATTTCATGCATTCGCTGACGGCCCCAGTGTTGTGAATTGCGTTACATTTCCCATCAAAAAGATTATATACTATTCAGTTTACTATATGCTCAGCAAATTGCTAGGGAAATAGGCTCACCTGGGCGCAGTTTGTATGCCGCGCTGGTGCTGTTCACGGATGACCGGCCCTATTTGCCTATTACTAGGAGGAGGCGATTTCCATGATGGAGTAGTATTTTGAAAATCTGTTTGCATGATTTTGAAGGGTTTATAATTCTATAGTATTGCAGTGCATTCGGTCCTGCAGGCGGGCCGTATTCTTGCAGTTCTGTGACGCGGCCTGTGGTCAAACATGAAGCACCCGAGCATGCCGCATGTAGCAAAACTGCATTGGATTTGAGGTCTACATAATCCTGGTAACATTAAAATTATTTTGGTGCAACGGCCAACGTCTTTTTATGAAATGCGTTCGGACCGCGGGAAGTTGCGAGGCCCGCAGCTGAACTTTGTTGAACGCGGCATGGAAACAAGATATTGTTGTTACAAAGGCACTGCAATTTCGCTCTGTGACCCGACCAACGGTATTCGCACGTGCGTGTGCGTGTGCGTGTGCAGCCGCGTGCCAGAGCGCGAGTAGGGCCCCTCACGTTCGACCTGCTCCTTATACCCATGACACCCCCCACAAAACGTCTTGGGGGACGTGCTCACGATCATCACCATATAACCGTATATCAAAAAACTTACTGCTGTTAGCAAATGCTGAACAGAAACCCAGCACCGTACATCTGCGGTGACACAGCACCCCAACTCAAAGCGAAGCAAGGAAGAACATTGTATTGTGTAGCACAGCAAAGCCAACAGATTTGGACGGCATCTGTACGGAGATGTTATCTGGTCCGTTGCATCTGCTGTGCAAGAGAGCGCCTGCAAAACATGCCGCACCTGCGGAGCACACAAGGCCACAACAAAATGGAAAGGGCAAAAGGCTTGAACCTGAATGCTAACTCGTGGAGCAACACGCAAACGGATAAGTAGCACTGTCCTGCCCCACATGGTATGCGCCGTGTATCAACGAGCAGTACAACATTGCATGCCCGTGCACCGGGGCTGACCATTATTCCCATCTGGAATTGGACACACACACTATCTCCCGCAGGAATGAATGACACTGAGAACCGCACCATCTGCGCGCGCGCGCGCGTGTGTGTGTGTGTTACATGGTTGGGGGGTGCGTGGCCCCATACCTGTAAAACTACCCATACGAGCGGAAGGCCCAATCTGCGCGTGGCTCTGAGTTTGTGAGGGGACTTGCAACTTATCGGGGGTTCTGGAGGGGGCGGAGGCCCCCAGTGCCTTACAGCTAAGTAATGAATCACACAACACCCTGAAAATCTATTACTTGATGAGTAATAAAAAGGGACCAGCCCTAAACGAAAACAAACACTGCCTGCGATCAGTCATTTTAGCTTCATGGATATAACATAAGTCCAGAAGCTGAAACAGCATTACAATTCCTCTTATCCTAAAAGGTTTGACGTACCCAGGCTTTGCTCCCACGAAGAAGCCAAACGACACGTGGAAGGCGGTGCTGTGCTGATGCAGGAAATCCAAGTACAGCTGACGATACGTTTTTTGGACTATCCTCCGTGGAAAGTACAAGGCAACAATACCCGGAATCTTTACACTGCCCCTCGCGAGTGGACTGAGTACACTGTTGTTGTACCAAAAACACGCAATCTCCTCCACGACCCCCTTAGGAATTTTGTCCGAGCGCTCAATCAGCCTGTATGGGCGAGCAGGTTGGGTGCTAGCTCCGCCAACTACTTCCTTGAAGCGCTCGCCTGCAGCCCCTGATGGCACTTTTCTTTAAACCCACGCGCCTGTGCAGCCCTTCGCACTCGATCTAAATGCTGTCACTAATCAGAATTTTTCATAAGATAATCTTAGGAGAGCTGCGAAGTGCTGATTGCCACACATAGAACTGGTGGCAATGAGCAGCGGGATGCTGTACCTGTCCCGTTTTTATTGGCGTCATTCCGTTCTCATGACACGTCCCTTCCCACTCGATCTGAATGCTGTCACTAAGCAGAATTTTTCATAAGATAATCTTAGGAAAGCTGCGAAGTGCTGATTGCGACACATAGAACTGGTGGCAATGAGCAGCGGGATGCGATATCTGTCACGTTTATTGGCGTTATTCCGTTCTCATGACACGTCCCTTCGCACTCGATCTGAATGCTGTCACTAAGCAGAATTTTTCATAACATCATCTTAGGAAAGCTGCGAAGTGCTGATTGCGACACATAGAACTGGTGGCAATGAGCAGCGGGATGCTGTACCTGTCCCGTTTTTATTGGCGTCATTCCATTCTCATGACACGTCCCTTCCCACTCGATCTGAATGCTGTCACTAAGCAGAATT